AAATTGTCTTCGGCGTGAATTTCTTCTACCAATTAAAAATTGGAAACGAGCGGCACAATAGATTCTGAGTTAAAAAAAAAAAAAGAATTTTAAAGTTAAAATTACACTTTTAATATATAATTTAAATTAAAATACATGAATTTTAAATACGATTTAAATAGATATATATAATTAATAACTTCATAAAATAAGCATTTTTTGACACATTTTTTTATAACAATTTTAAATTAGATTTTTGTTATTTTATTCTTTGAATTACACGACTTAATTATACAATAATAATGATTGAATATAGGTTAAAACCTTTTTTGGTCCCTGAACTATTGTACGGACCCCCAATTTGATTCCTGAACTAAAAAAATCTCTGATTTGGTCTCTACTGTTTACCATTTTTACCTCGATTTGGTCCTTCCGTTAAAAATTGTGTGACGTGGCCTGTTATTTCACGGTTACCGAATGACATGTCATATAGTAATCCACGTGGAAGACAATATAGCCAAAAAGTGATGATGTGGAAAAATAATAATATAAAAAAATATTATGAAAAATAAAATTTAAATTTTTTTTTTCTTTTTTCTTTCTCCTTCTCCTTTCCCTTTCCCTTTCCCTTTCTCCTTCCCCTTTCCCTTCTCTTTCCCCTCACAAGGAACCCAGGCGCTTGGGTTCCTTCGAACCCAGGCGCTTGGGTTCCTTCAAACCCACGCCTGGGTTCTTCGAACCAGCTGGGTTCCATGGAACCCAACCCTGGGTTCCGTCGAACCCAGGCATGGGTTCAACGAAACCCAAGCGTGGGTTCTTCGAACCAGCTGGGTTCCATGGAACTCGACCCTGGGTTCCGTCGAACCCAGGCATGGGTTCAACGGAACCCAGGCGTGGGTTCGAAGAACCCAGAACGCTTGGGTTCTTCAAACCAGTTGGGTTCCATGGAACTCGACCCTGGGTTCGAAGAACCCAGCACGCCTGGGTTCGAAGAACCCAGCACGCCTGGGTTCGAGATGATGATGATGAACATATATATTTTTTCTATGGGTTTGGTGTTTGATGATGATGAAGAAAGCAAGGCAACGAAGAGGAAGGAAAAAAAAAGGGCGTTATTTGGGTTTGATTCAACGCAGGTGTTGGGTTTGTTTGCTCAAGGAAGAAGATGATGGGCTGGGTTCTTCGAACCAGTTGGGTTCCATGGAACCCGACCCTAGGTTCAAAGAACCCAGCATGCCTGGGTTCGAGATGATGATGATGAACATATATATTTTTTCTGTGGGTTTGATGTTTGATGATGATGAAGAAAGCAAGGCAAGGAAGAGGAAGGAAAAAAAAAGGGCGTTGTTTGGGTTCGATTCAACCCAGGTGCTGGGTTTGTTTGGTGCTGGGTTTGTTTGCTCAAGGAAGAAGATGATGGCAAATTCGTAATTTTGGTGGGCTCCACTTTTGTTGGGTTGAGCAAGGACACGACATGTCACGTTGCCATGTCATTATTTAGTCATTTATATAACTGAGGTGTCTCAAATGTTTGACATGTCATTAAATTGTCGTGAGATAACGGTGAGATTTTAACAGAAGGACCAAATCGGGGTAAAAAGGGTAAACAGTAGGTACCAAATCAGGGATTTTTTTAGTTCAAGGAGCAAATCAAGGGTCCGTACAATAATTTAGGGACCAAATCGGATGTCCGTACAACAGTTCAGAGACCAAAAAAGGTTTTAACCTTGAATATAAGACAACCTCTATCTTTAATATCAAGAGTCTTCCGTTCATTTAATACTTAAAAGTAATACAATCTTCCTTTCAAAAAAAATAAAAGTAATACAATCTTGTATAATATAAATTGCATAATAAACACTTTTTTATTTAAATTAAGAGTATTTTCTACTGTCAACAATTTAAGTAACTCATTGATAATCTCTTTCTGTTGAAAGTAAGAGATTATAAATTTGAGTCGCATGGTATGCGAATGAG